AAATTTGAGTTTTTTCCTCCTAAAATCTAGAAAAATCTTCATTCATAATCAAATTCTAAAATATATATTAACGGAGAAAGAATTAAACATGACACAGAAATTGAGTTGACGTTAAGAAAATTTATTACTTAGATATGCAATATTATCCTAAAATTACAAATGTAGTATATGATTGCATTTAGTCGCAATTCCATAAGTATTGCAAGTTGAATTCTAACTCAAGAGTCAGAATAAATTAAAGAATTAGATATTTTGCAATTAGAAATCAGAAGATTTTATGATATTAAATATTTGCGTCAAATGACAGTAAAATCGACATTAATAAATAGAGTTAAAAATACTAAAAATATTAGAAATGAATATCGAAAATTTGTTAAGCAAATCCAATTATGAAATAGGCGGGAAAGGCTTGTTAAAGATTTAAAAGGAACTATAATTATGGGTGTCTCGTGATCCAAATTTGAGATTGAAATTTTTGCAACAAGGAGATTGAAATTTTTGCAATAAGTTGATCATTCAAACTACAATATTTACTCAGGTAGCACTAACATGTACAAAGATTTAAAACTAATGTTTTGGTGGCGTTGTAGGAAGAAGGGTTTGTCAAATAAATTTCTAAGTGTCGAGCATGTTTGGGTAGCTTATTGGTGCAGGTGGCATTTTCAAAACGTCGTCGAGTCGTTTGGTTTAGTTGTTCGGACAGCTTATTGCAAAACTTCGTTTTGGAATCCTTAACAGACGGGGACCCGGGATCAACCCCGCGTCCCACGTCTTCATTTTGCATTCGAGTGAAATTTCCTCACATGTCCTCTACTCTCTACCTCTCCTTCGCTCAGACTATGGAGGTCGCAGTCGTGCTCCCCTCTCCTTCATTTCGGGTAGGAGTGAGGAAGTAGCGACCGCAGTGAGGTGATGGTCGGGCTTCTCGCGTGTGCTATCAACGTCGTCGGTGGGAGCGGGATGGGGAACGAGGAAGAAGGCAATGAGATCCATTTACCTTTGTTGATTTTTACAACGAAGCAGTTGAAGCGCATGCTGGAACTTGACCGGGCGGCGGCCGCCCTCCGCCATTCGATCAAGGATCTCCGGCTTATAATCCTGTCGGCACTATTTTTGGATTTCCACGCCCATACTATGGCCTCAAGCGCTGCCCCAGCTCTGCAACTCAATGCTCACTCTACCACCCGCGAACAGGCGCAATCTAATTCCACCATTCCGTGATAGCGATCTATACCACTATTTCTGATCCTTATCATAAATGGTTGAACTCAGCATTGTTCTCATTAATTGTCCTAAAACTTGTTGAAATGTTTTTATTATAAATAATTCATGTAGAAATGACTCTATAGTTAGTCTAGGGTTGGGTTGATGGGCAATGGCTACTTAGATGTTAAAAAAATGATCATAGAAGTGAGGTATTTGCGGGTTAAAATTATGATATTTGGTTAATCTTTAATGCATTTACTTGATTAAGAAATAGGGGCAGAATAGTCATTTATGCAAAATCAGTTGTTTTCCAAACGCGCAAACCAAAAAGCTAGTCAGTTTATTATGATTAGCTACAGATACGCAGCTTGCAGAATAAGTTGTTTATTAGCAAGTCGGATAAGCTGCAGCCGCAAAATCAGTTGTTTTCCAAAAGCGCAAACCAAAAAGCTAGTCAGCTTATTATGATTAGCTACAGATACGCAGCTTGCAGGATAAGTTGTTTATTAGCAAGTCGGATAAGCTGCAGCTGCCACAAACAGACCCTAAGCAACAAAGACCAGGTGAATTGTTACGGTCCTTACCTAAACTTGAGTGAAAATAGGAAAAAATTACAATGAATTTGGTTATATGATTCCGTAAATCCATACAAGTTCATCTTAATGTAGAAGAGATAATTAATCGGATTAACCAAGTCAACTCATTTGTGGAATATCAAGCAAACAACCAATTAAAAAATTGGCTAGGTGTATGAGAAGGAAATTGATGAACAGTTCATCTTAATGTAGAAGAGATAATTAATCAGATTAACCAAGTCAACTCATTTGTGGAGGATCAAGCAAACAACCAATTAACAAATTGGCTAGGTGTATGAGAAGGAAATTGATGAACTAAATGATGTTCCAAATGTATTCATCTTAGACAAAGTAATTCTTATATGAAATGTACAACTATATTTGGTCATCAAGTTGAATTTGATATATATAATCATTTGAAATCATTGAGAAAATCAATAAGATCGCTTAAAAACTAGCACTGCCAACTAAAATTTTAAATGTTCACAATGTTTTTCACATATCGATGCTAAGAAAATAAGTCACTAAAGCAAGTCAAAGAAAATCATAGGAAATGAAATTGAAAAAATTTTAAAAATTTAAAAATTTTAGATTCAACGTACATTAAAGAGATGAAAAAATTTTTGAAATTGATATTAAAAAACTGTGTAACAAACCTTATTCATTATGTTAAGATTAAATTGAAGCATGAGTCAACCAAAAAAAAAGTAACTAGGGAATACAAATAAGAAATGAGCCACAAAATTTGCCTAAAGATTCAACAACCTGCTAAAAAATTCGACGACAATTTTAATAAAAATCACATAAATGAAATAATAAAATGGAAAATAAGTAAATGAAAACTCACTTTAAAATTATATCCCATTTTTCACACCTCACAAAAATTATCAAATTATTGTTTTACGAAATTATGTACTTTAATTTGACTATTTTGATAAATTATTTACTCTTGATATTAGTCTTAGAACGCTCCAACTTGTATCAATGGGTTATTGATAAGTGTAATGTTGGGCTCCAACATTTATTAGCAGTAATTATGACCATCGAGCTAGGTGATAACATGATAAAATTTAATTTCTTTAACTCTATACAAATATTATATGATATTTCTAAGATAAGAAATGCTGAAAATAAGAAGAAAAAATAAGAATGAAGTAAACAAAAACATTTATGATATTGACTAGCATACTAAAATAAAAGTTTGGCACAAGTTAGCACAAAATCAGCAATGGGAAAGGAAAAATTTGATCGATGATATGATGAAATTTTTATTAACAATTAATATGATCTTTGGGCCAATGTGATGATCGATGATATGAAAGGAAATGGAAAAATTTTAGGCTTATACATTTACAAGTGATATTGTTATGCTATGATGACATTGTTATGATGACATTGCTATGATTACATTATGATGAATATGCTTATGATTACATGTTTATGACTTTACATATTTTATACAATAGTCATAATCTGTTTTTTTTTAATGTTCTATATAATTCTAGCACGTTATGACTTGCGCGTGGGCATGTACAGACATACGAGCATGCACTTTGTTTCTTTTTATATTAAAAATATTGTTTTAGCTTTGATTATTTCTCTGAGCTCGTTGCTCACTCTACGTTATTTACTTACTGAAAAGGATAAGAAGCACTGGGGCAAATAGTCAGTTATGACTTGTACAGATTTTGTATTTATAGTTTTGAAAGCTTGTACAATCTTTTGGGTCTGTATTTTATTTATATTAGATTTAGTAGTTTTATATAGATATATTTGTTATGATGATATAATTTTCACACTTCCAAATAAATGAGAATATGAATTGAATTATGAAACAAAACGTATCAAGTATGATTGTGGCAATTTAGTTAGACTTGTTCATCACCCACAGGGTCTTAATTCTGCAAATCAGGATGAATGTTGGTGATAATTTAGACTGGCCAAATTAGGCACCTCAGCTGACCCTTAAGGGGGCAGTTGAGGCGTGACAGATTGTCAAAAGTCATCATTTGTCTTTGAGATTATTTTCTCAACAATTTGGGACCAAAAAACATAACTAGTACCATCAAGTTTAATATTAATCTTTGTGGCAGTACATCATTTGTCATTGCTAAAGTCAGAATCTGGTTTTGAACTAAAACTTAAGTCATTCTTGTCACAAGGACTGCGAGTATTGCAGCCATTTATGCTGTTCTCATTCTATCAGGTAAGTGGATGTAGTCATCATTTTCAGATTCATCTGATCTTGCAACAGCAATTCCTAGTTGTGAAGAATAAGAGGAATTCTACAAGTAACTAATCTGGTACTATGTTAAACTCAAGAGCTTTTCAAAATATTTCTCAAATTCATTCTTAAATAAGTATATTTAAAAGATAAAAAATGGCGGCAAATTTCTCAGAAACCATTAATATTTGGTCAGAAGAAAATAAGGAAGCTATATAAACCATAGATAAACATAACAATAAAGACAGCCATCAATTATAATCATCTCCTTCTCCAGGTACCAAATAAAGCTCACGCAAACATGACGAGTAAAAGTGGAGGCAATCTAATCAAATGCTCGAGTGATGATTGAACTATAAAAATAAACCATAAAAATGCATTGAACTATAAAATTAATTCATAAAATAGAAGACACAACTAGCATAAAAATAGCATGTAGAATTTAGATATTTCATTCAACAGCAAATTTTAAGATATCATAAAATTTTGAACGCAAATTATATCATATGGTTTTATGCGGCTTGTAATTTAAAATATATAATTATGGTTTTTACAGCAAGCCCATGTGCTGATTGAAAAACTGATACGGCAAACATAGCATCTTTTAGATTTACAACATTCCTATGTTTCATCCAAGAAATTTCTTTACCTGATATTATGGAAAGAGAGCATTTTACAACAATTTTTTAGTATTTTCTATCCTTGAGAATTTGAAATGAAGTCGACTTATTTTCATGTACCTTTCTAATTTAAGCAAGTGCAGGGAAACACAAGATATGGATTACACCTGCTAAATTGTCATATTCTAGACAAGGCCCGTCATTTTCTTTTTCTTTTGATGAAATAATTAAATATTAAGTCCTAAAACAGTAACGTATCTCAATAATTATTTTCCTCGGACACATATGGCCAAATACAAGTAAAATATTCATCAAATAACACGATTTCATAATAAGAAGCCCGATGGAGAAATTTTATTGCAGTTGAAGGCAAACCTTTTAATGTCCTCCACAGCCTGTTTTCGATGTTGTATTTGCCGTTCTAGAATATGAATTAGTGTAGCTCTGGCCTATGAAGTAAAAGGCAAAAAAACATATATTAACAGATGAAGCAAAAAAAATACCATTTTAAGACAAAAAAAAAGGTTGATAAATGCCTGGTGAGGACGCAGTGAATTAAGAAGATGGTGCAAGTTCTTAAAAATAAGAGAAATTTCCTCCACTCTTCGTGCATATTGTGATGGTCTATCCACAAGCACATCAGCTAGCTCCAAGATATGTAGTTGAAGCTCCCTATTCAGTGACCTCAACTCTTTTTTATAATCTGAATACAGAAACAATTAATGAACTAGAAGCCCTTAGCCATGATACCAGAGTAACCAAGAAACAGAAACAGTTCTGATGAATTAAAATTGAAGTAATAAAATTGGTAATTAGATAAGTAGTGCTCCATGATTGATGAACAAAACTAGGGCAGGAATCAGAGATGAAACAGCCTGGCTGAAATCACAAATACAAATGCTGGGACCTCTTCTAGCAGAACTCAAGTTGTAAAAAATTATCTAAACACAATTAGTTTAAAAAAAAATAAAAAGAAAAAAGTAAAAAAGAAATCTAAACATAATTAGCCTTGGATAAAACAAGTAGTGCATAGGGCAGCAAGACCTGATATTGGCCACATTTGGACCCCATTACAAATCACTTTTTATGGCAAAGTCAATTCATGTATCTCAGTCCAGCCAAAAAAAATTTACATTCAACCAGAAAGTGTCGCTAAAGTTGGCATTAACCAAGCAAGCTTTGACTCAATGTTTGCCGGACAGTGAATCCTTAAATCTCTCCCTATTTCCTGAGTTTCTCAATGATATTCACTTTTTCATCATGCACAACATACTGCAAAACAAGTCCGTCAGCTTTGTGGAAATTCATGAAATTCGGACGGATGGCCTCATCCACTTTATCTTGTATAATGCAACGCAAGTAGGTCATCTTTGTGGAAGATAATGAAAATTGGACAGATGACCTCATCCTCTCTATCATCTTGTGTGTGTGCGTGATGTATGTACTCAGTACATGTGCAATGTAACCATGCAAAAATAAATATATGTATGGAGGTTTGCTCGGTGGTATCTATTATATTATTATTTGATCATGATTGCTTATTTTTTTCTTCCAGTTCAGAATTTATCCCTTTTCCTTTCAACCACCACCACAAACCTCAACACCCCGTAAAAAGCCCAATTTTTTAGTCCCTTTAATCCCATCACATCCAAAACTCGTCATGAAAAATCCCTCACCCTAGCCTAAGTCTCACACATCAACCCTATAAGCTCCACACTCTCAAGCAAAACCCACACCCATTAAAATACTTTCTACACCTGTCAGACATTATTAAACCCTTACCTTCCCAAGTCCACTTCACCCCAAATATCCTCCATTAGGTTTCTTTCTATTCCCTTGCAAATTAGAAAAAAATATAAATCTCCAACCCTACCGCATAAAAGCCCACCTCACTCCTCTGTCCAGCAACACTTACATTGTTAAACAATCTGATCGAGAACATATGGTAGCAGGGATCAATTAATGAAAATAACAAACCCTGACTTTCACACCCGGTACACAAATCTCACGGTGGGTATGAGGCACGTCTTCCCAGACATTAAGAGTAAGTTAACCAGCCAAAACAAAGAAAAACAGAACTTCAATCTGCTAATAACCTTAACATCGAAGTAGAGATTATACCAGCCAGCTGATCGTATACTTCTTTCCATAATCTTGAACAAATACACAACATTGAAAATGGCTATGATGTTCACAATAGAAACTGTTAAACTAGATGGAAGTCTATGAAATGCTAAAAAAGAATTGTGGAGAACATGTTTCATGTGAAATAATGGATGATCAGTGCAGGCTGTGCAGCATAAATTTTAAAGGTAAAATGAACTAATATATTGATAGGAATCATCCTCACAACAAACAACCGCTATTTTTCGTTTTTACTAAGAATTGTGGATGGGACAGTTCAAATCAGTCATATGATCATAAATAAGGGATCATGGGCAAGCACAAAGCTCAATCAATTTAAGTTAGCATAAAATTCTGGCAAGACGTACTCACTATATCTTCTCGTTTCAGGATTCAAATCCTTAATAAAATTAGAAAAGAAAATTTCTTGCAGAAAATGTCTAGTTATGCTTTGCAAGCTTGTTAATGAATTTTTTTCTTATACTTCTTCATGTTCAAATTTTGTTATTGGATTGCTTGTTTGCTTGATTTTACTCAAACTCAATACAATTTGATTTACAACGAGTGGATTTCAAATTATTCGCATGGATTGCTTGTTTTGTAGTTTCTAGTTATTATTTCTGGTAGAAAACTATTGATGTTTTGTCTAAATTGATGTCCTATTTTTTTAATTTCCATTGAAGTAGTAACTTGTCAAATGATTAAGAGTAAGCGCCCCCAAATTTCTGTGTATGCTTCATGCTTTTTTGCATCTCATATTAATAAAATATTATAGATCCAAGTCCCTAAGATGTCCTACAAAATATGTGGTACTTGAGATCGCAGTATAGAAAGAAATATTAGGGTCAGTCACTAACATTATAAAAAATGTAATTTAAATTAAATCATTTCGGTTATAATTCTAAACAATTTCAACATAACTAACATTTGGTTAAAAATTATATTCTTACATCCAATTTGAGGTATAATACTAGGGTATTTCATGTTAAATAAATAACTAAGAAGAATTCTTGAAATAAACATAATATACCTTTATTTTTAAAATAATGTACTTAATTCATAAAGATTTGGATATTCAAAAACAAAATCTGCATAACTAATATAGAACATAAACATAAAAAAGAATTTACCATTTATTGATTACAGGGATCGATGGCTTTATCAATTAAAGAAGTATAAGAAAGACAACTTATACTGTTACATTGTTTGAGTATTGGTTAAATTTGTCGTAGCTAAAAATTCTTCACCAAGAAGTTGATTTGTTAATAACATATATTTCTTTAAACCCGTTACCGAAAAATTGAGTATAAATTAAGTTACAATTTTTCAAAGATACTAGAGAAGGCTTACTACAAAACTTTAAGAGTTTGGGAAATAACATAACTATCCCCATGTTAGTATTATTGCACGTGGTTTAATAATAACTTATTAAAATTAAAAAAGCCTAATACACAAACACAAGTACATATATGGTCAAAAATGATCCTATTAAAAAACTATAATTCATGAATGTTTTTTGAATGATGGATTAGAAGAAGAAAATATAACTACAAAACAATCTTGACTCAGATTTTACTAGAGCTGAAATCTTCACTGGAGTTGGCACTATAGCTTGTTTATGAAACAAAACCAATATTTAAGAAAGAGTGAAAAATTGAACTTGGAACTTAGCAGGAGATATCATTTTTTAATCTAAGTCTCATTAAACCCTTAATATTACCTTAATTTTAAACTACGTAAATCATAAATGTAGACATTGATAAATCAACTCCAAATATCCCATAGTGTAATTCTTGATAAATTTTTTATCAGAATTACCTCAACTTCTATGAATCAAACTAATACAGATTGTTTCATTGTTCTTGGTTTTCTTAACTTACACATTAAAAAGATCTTTATGGAGAGTCAACCGGCAAATATTTACAAGATATAAAAATGGCAATAGGTTTCAAAAACATGAAAATTAAAACTCCATATATTAGGTAGAATACAAATGTTCATAATTCATCAAAACTAATCTTTAAGAAATTTGGATTATTTTACATTAAAGAATTTACCTATCCATATGATAAACACATCCTATTCATATCAAACATATTTGTATAATTTGCTAATTATCAGAAAATTTAATGGAATCCAATAATATAAAATTTTTCATCTATTTCCTCCTATGAATTAGCTTGTTTTTTTTATCGGAAAATGTACTTTTTTTGTAACTTCATTACATGTATCATACCTTCTTGTACTATCCATTTGTTATATACAAAATGTGTATGAGAATACTCACATGAAATTTTTCACTAATTTATAATAATTACAATTCTATTGTAAATTATAATTAGAGCTATGTAGAATTAAAACAACTTATTGAAGAAATTGTCTACTTGAACCTATAAAGGCTTCCTGTATGAATGCTTGAGAGTTAATTACTAGAAAAAGAAAATCATATATATATATATA